ACCGGACGGCCTTCAAACGACGATCACCTAACTCATTTTTCGAACAGATCACATCACCCTTGAAACCGCGCCTTTGTAGAGAAGAAAAGAAGCGCTCCCGAAACCTCATCTTCTCCCAGACCCGACTACCTCTACGACTACCTACCGCATACACACAACCACCCGTTCAAACACATACGTCTCAAAAACACAACAGCAAACTTTGATACAATCACACAATGACCTCCGTCGCCCAACGGCAAGCGCAGCCTGCGCAACCATCCACTAGCCAAACCGCTGCCCCAACCCGAACCCAAACCGAGACCTCTTCTCCGGCCATCTTGCGACTTCGCGGCGCACACTCGAACGGGCGATCTGTACAATGGCGTAACGATGTCGTTGACAACGAAGGTCTCGGCAGGAAGAAGTCCAAAGGTTAGTTGACCTGGGTTTTCCTTCTGTCCCCCACCCTTCAATTGCCTTGCGCGCATACATGCACATTCTGATAAGTACATGTGCTAATACCACCGGCGTGCCACAAACAAAACAGTCTGCTGCATCTACCACCGACCAAAAGGCGTAGACGAGTCCAGTGACGATTCTTCTTCTTCCTCCGACTCATCATCCTCCTCCGATTCCGACTCGGACCCAGAACCTGATCAAGATAAACGAATCACATCCGGCGGTGGTAGTAGTGGCAGGGGCCACCGGCATTCCCATGATCACGACCATGATCGCAGGGAGGGTGGTTGTAACCACGACCATGGACGTGGGAGGAAACATGGCAATAAAGGAAAGAAGACGGAAAGGAGGCCGAGCCCGAATGCGTATGAGAAAATGCCCAAGTATAAGCCGAAGGATGGAGGGGCTGGGCCTTCGAATTCAGAACTGCAAGGTCCTGGGGGCAGTAAATGATGCAGGGAACAACACGAACGTATGTTTAAAAGTCGAATTTCTTTTTGGGGGGCAATTGTTAGATACCATGGGAAGAAAAGAATATGAGCACGAAGGCTGGGTTTGTCTTGGTTTTGGCTTTCTGAAGCCATAATGAGCACGTGTATGGGCTGCTTCTCGTTAGATATCATTCTTCGCTAAGTGTCTTTGTTATTGGACTTCACGAGTCAAATAACGATCGATGTACACATGTATCTCACTATCACGGCCTCAGATATTCAAGACATCCAGCAACGCAGAAATGTGCTACTGCATTCTAACACATTTGCCCATAGACACCATAAGTGACTCTATCTTATGTAACGGCTATACAGAGCTTCCCAATGTTTAAGATCGTACAAGAAATCTAACCCATCCATGTAAAGACAACCCTTCCAGACCTTTTTAGCTCACAGCGCCAGACGCCACTCAACGTTATCCCACTAGTGCAACAGCCAAGTCTGAGTCTGCTCCTTCTCACCCTCGGCAGCCCAAGTAACCCTCAAGTTCAATCCGCGCTCGTGATTCTCGGCGGTGATATACTCAATCTCGCCTGCAATCTTCTTTCCAGGAGCCGGCTTCGTCTCCTTGACCTTGTTCTTGTCCAGCAGCATCAGGCCCTGTCGCCAATGGGTAGGCTCACCAAACGGTCCGGTAGTAAAAGCCACCCGGGCGTCCTTATCGCCGCCCTTGCCGGCCGTCTCAGCCACCCACTCCTGCGCCTTGGTGTCCAGCTTGATGGACTCGTCGACGCGGTTGCGTGCGAAGAAAACGTCCCACCAGACGAGGAAGCCGTCGTGGCTCTCGGCCTTGTCGCCGAAGGCGCTCTGCCACTTAGCCGTGAACACGAGGTCCTCGACCTTGACGGTGTGGAAATCCAACAGCCCGAACGAGGCCGGGGTGCCGCACACGGTCTCGGCGGGGCGAACCTCCATCCGGCAATCCTCGTAGATGCCCTTCTGCATCACCTTCATGTCGAAGCCGTACACGTCGCGCCAGAAGTCAACGTACTCGGCAATGTACTCCTGTTCCGACACGGGCGCGATCCACATGTTGCCGTGGCTGGGGACGAGCAGACCTTGGGGAGCCAGGTACTTGTCGCGCGCCCACAAAACGCTGTTGAGCATGGCCTCGTACAGCAAGCAGTAGCCCATCCACTCGGACACAATGATGTCGACCTTTTCGACGGGGAGGATCACCTCCTCGATGCGGCCCTTGAGGGTAACAATCACGTCCGAAAGCCCGTTGGCGTAAATGTTCTCGCGCGCCTTGTCGATGATTTCCGAGCGGTCGACGGCGATAACCTGCTTCGCACCCGCCTTGGCGCAGAACATGGACAGGATACCCGTGCCGCAGCCAATGTCGAGGACGACCTTGCCGGCGAAGAGGTCCTTGTTCTGGTAGATGAAGTCGCGGTAGGCTTCGGTGCGGACCGTGTCCTTGAGCATGGTCTCGTGGATGTCGTTGTGCGCGTACGACTCGAAGTAGTAGTCGGAAGCGCCCTCCTTGGCGGCAGGACCCTCGGGGGCCGGGCCTGAAGGCGCAGCAGCAGCGGCGGCGGCGGCCTTGCCCTTGGCAGTATCCTTGTCGTCGTCATCAGCCTGCCAGCGCTGATCGAGGGTCTGCTGGACGGCAAGGCGGTAATTGGAGAACTGCTTGGACAGCTGCTCGAGCTGAGCCTGGAGCTCGGCGTTCTTTTGGATCAACTCATCCACAGCAGGCGCATCCGCGCCCTTCTGGGTGCCGGCAGCAGAAGCCTCAGCGCCGGTACCGCTGGACTCAGGGAGATCATCCAGGCACAAAATCAAGGCGTCATCATCAAGGACGGGCTTGAGATAGCGGTCATCCTCCAGATCGGCGGCAGTGATCTCAGCGGGAAGAGGGACGCCTTCGTGAACCTTGGAACGGACTAATATGTTGTCAGTAGGCTGACTATTTAGCTTGTGGAGACTGGAGACCTACTGAAGTTGATAAGCTTGATCAAGCCGTAGAAATCCAAGTCGAGACGGTCGCGAATGGCAAGGAAATCAAGACCCTTATCCTTGCAGTAGTTCAGCATGGAGACAACGTCGGGGAAGACATGGTCGTCGAGCAAGGAGATGATAGCGGGGGCCTCCTCTTGCTCCTCGTCCTGGTCGAGCCACTCATCCTCGTCGCCAGAAGAAGAAGAGGCATCGGAGCCAGAATCAGAGCCGGAGCTATAGTCGTTACGACGGGGTTCGGACTGAGCCGCCGAAGTTGAAGCTTGAGCGGCCATGATGTGGTGGTTTGCCTCGAGGTACTTGACTTTGCTATGTCAGGTACAAAAATGTGAACAACAACCAAGATCACAACAAGAAACGTGGTTCTTGAAAGTGTGTTGTGAGGTTGTTGGTGCCTGGTCGTCAAGGTGCGCAGGCTTTGAAAAAATCAGAAATTTCCACTTGTGTAAATTGGTAGTGTAAAGCAGTACCTCATTAGGTTGGCTGCAGTTGCAGCGTCGCCCAAAAATTGCGGGGAAACACATGCCGATAACGAACGCCTATTCGAACATCGAGCGCCAAAGACGTTCTCGGAACTTAAAATGTACATATATGCTAATAATTCCCGTTTGTTTATTATTACCTTCTTCCTGACTGTTTTCGTACATGCCGCAATGGTGTAGTAATGATTCAAGGACCAAGCTTCTTGGGGCCTTTAGCGGATTGTGTCGTTCTCCAACAACCACCCCAAGATCCAGCCCCTTTCCCAGCTTCAGATCCAGTTGCCTGGGCAACCAGCCTTTCCAGAAAGCCAGAGAAGAAGGTATTGTCTGATCCAGTACGCCCTTTCTCTTGATCATGTATTCATGAAAATGTACAGTGTAAAATCTACAGTATCACCTAGCAGCCCATCGCTCTGTGCTCTTGTTACTCCCTTGCCAATCGTGCCTGCAAATTGTTTAACCCCCAACAACGCCGGCAACTCCTTCACACAACCCAGTAGACAAAGTCAGGTATTCGACGAAAAATAAGGAACGGAGAAAAGGGCCCAGCAAAGAGCACTCTAGCAATATTCCAACCTTGCACTTCAAGAAATTCAAGCAAGCAAACCGTCCTGAATCCAACCCATAAGCAAATCTCACGTATGTCTTTCTCACAGGCGGACGCTCGCCCCTATTCCCCTTCCAACATACCACAGCGTCTCTATCCAGGATCCAATCCTGACACTGACAGTAGCCTTCGCATCAAGCCTCAGCCTACCACCTAATGCTTCCTTCACCTTATCACGTCCAACCGAATCCAGAGACCAGTCCACCGGCAACCTAGGCGTGGTGGACACCCCCGGAGGGCAGCCAAACGGTGAATCATACTTGATTCGTCCGATTTCCTCCGTGTGATTGTACAGCGCCGTAGCATTGATGTGCTCGATATATATCGTGTTTCGTGAGAAGGGCGAAGCTAACGTAAATGTGGCTTGAGAAGAGAATATGTGAAAGGTCGCGCCCCGAATAAAGTGAGGAGCCGTATCATTGGTGTTGCCGTCCCCATCGTGTCGTCCACCTTCATCGTCGCCAGGCACGCTAAGTCTAGGCATTGGGAGCGTGAAGTTGAATTTTGACAGCGCTTTGCCCAGCTCTGGCTTTGATGGGATAGTACCCGGATGTGTTCTAAGCGTCACGGTTGTGTTATAACCGGATATGTACTGCGAAATCAGATCCCGGCCGATTTGCACGCCATCTTCTCCGGCCAAAGAAGGCCTCCATAGTGCCGTCACTTTCAGGTTTGTATTGTTTCCACGCTTGATGGTTAGTCTCTTTGCACGCGCCTCGCCGAGAACAGTTCCATTATTCAAAATGTTGATGCTAATCCAAGGAATGTAGGCCGCGTATGGAGTAGGGTTGGTTACGTTAACTGACGCCTGTAGAGATATTGAGACTGGGCTAGTGTCAACAACTTCCAGTTCTCCCACTTGAGGCTGCATAGAGCCGAGAAGATCGTTTCCAAGGGCTAGTGAAGGAGCGAGATGTCAGTGTTCTGAGATGTCCATAAAGTATGCGTGAGCGACTGATGGATAGCATCGACAAGAGATGCATAATCGCCAACAGCAGCAAGGTGACTGACAAAATATCATTGGAGAAGAGACGGACGTTTGAGCGGAATTCTGCCCTCCGCGGGGACACCCTTCACCACAAATTGTCCAAGAATTGTATGTACGCCAACGTCGACAAGAGCGCTGATGTCGAGAATGACATCGGTGTCACCAAAAAGGAGGGCCTGAATAACATCGGTCAACACGTCATCGTCGGTAACCTTGAGCGGCGTATCATGAACGCGTGATGTGATCTCAATCAAGTTTTCTTCACCGGGACCGCCGTCGATTTGAATGGAGCTGGCCTTCTCGTCAATTTTCAGTTCGCCTAGCTTCCTGGAGTCATAAAACACATCCGCTTTGGCCTTGACACTGGAGACGTTCAACCCAATATTCAGTTCCGATGGGAGGGCTGCCAAAGCGACGATAGTGCCCGACACTTTGGGGTTCGAATTGGGGTCGTCGGGATCTGCCAACGGGTCTGGCAAGGAGAATGATACGTCCGTCAAAGAGAAGTTACGAATCAAGTCGTCAAAGGATTGTTGCGGAAGAGGTACAGGGACCGTAACACTGGAGATGATGTCCCCAATCCAACCAGGGACCTCTCCACCTTGATCTTTCTGACCTCGTACGAGAACCGATACAGGCTCACCTGCAACGTAGGCTTCAAAGAGCTTGTCCAACGGCGACAAGGTTCCACCAGGGCAGGGACGGGTAAGAGGCTCTGGCAATTCTTCGACGATGGAATGGGCGGTGACTTCGACATCGGCTTCCGGCCTAAGAGCAATGACATCGGTTAGGGCGGTAGCGATAGAAATGGCCGGGCCATGCTTCTTGCATCCCGGAACCGAGACCTCGAACTTGAGCGCGGGTACGTCAAAAGCAACTGGATAAGGGTTGAAGGTGGTGATGGTAACGTCGGCTGCCATTCCCTGCCTATCATCGCCGGGTAAGGGCCTCTCTTCAAAATTAAGACCGGTAATGTTGTAGGAGGGGAGCGGGGGCAATTCCTTGCCTACAATAAACGTATCAGTATGGATTCAAGGTCATTGTGGTGGAAGGACACAACATCGGGGCATAGCACATGTTTGTTCTCATTTATAAGAATGACTTTTCGCCAAATAACAATGCTGCGAAGGGACGGTAGAGGGATTGACCTTCAAACTCCATTGTTTCCGAAACAGCGTGCGTTCCCAAGGGAATGTTGAATCTTGTCTTGACCGTGATCTCCGTTATTCCCCGTACACGAATTGTATCCATTTTCCCGCCCAAGAACTGATTTGCAATGGTCCGAATGGTATCAGCATCACCAGGAGCCAAATCGGCAATGATATCAAGCTCAGTATTGTGGCCATTCGCGATGGCAATCGTCAAGGGAGGGAGGCCAGCAGTTCCGAGCAACATGTTGTCGTGATCAATCCAGTAGACCTTGACCTTCGTCTCCTCTGTTGCCAGCTCTTTAGCCAGCCACGTGGTGAACTGGCCGACTCGTCTAATATAGACATTCTTGACACGCTGAGCATCAAGACGGAAGTTTGCTTGGATTCGCGCACGGACGCCGTCGGTAGTGATAGACTCGAGCGCCAAGTTTGTCGGCTCGATGACGATAGCCTCCTTGGCATATTTCTCAACCGCAGCTGGAACAAAAAAAGCGCCAATAGCGATGGAGGTTGCGAGCCCCATCAACAATAGCGCGGCGACAATGGAGGGCCATCGCGTCGACTTCGTGGTCGACCGCGCTGATGGTACTCCATCTCCAGAATGAGAAGCCCCAGCCGAGACCAAAGAAGCTCTGTCTGGATCATCGCGTCCGTCATAGCGTGGTGTTGTGTTGGACGTCGAAAGCAGAGGCGTAGATTCGAGTGCTCCATCGGTTAAATCGGCCAGTGTTTTGGTATCCCTACTGCTTGTCGACGCCGCGAGCAGAGGGGACCGCTCGGTTTCGAAGTCGGAAGACGACATGTCGAAACGATGGTGCTGGATTCGGTTCTCAAGCCCTCATGAATGAAGTGTAAAGACTGAAATGGGCAATGAGTGGATGAATGATCGCAGGCAGACGAGCAATGGTAGATTGCCGTGAAGCTTGGACGCTCCTGCGATAACGACAACGGACGAGTTAAACGGTCGGGTGTTGGCACGGAGGTACCTCTAGATACTAGGTTGATCAAGGATAAGATAAACTGATAGGCTAGAAGAACTCGATATAATGAACAATATGTCTCAGGAAATTGATGAGGATGAATCGATGAAGTATAGTATGGACGATTTATACTGGAATGGTGTTGCAACAAAGCAGGACGGTTGGTGTTTCAGCGACGTTGAGATTGAAGTTGGGCTCGCAGCCGACACATCAAGTCTTCGGATATGGAGGTACCTACCTACCTAGATCACGAGCCATGCACTAACAACATGATGCGTGAGCTGGCACTATTCTACAGGTTGACAGTGCCTTCATGCAGTTAAGGTAGTGCTGCACCAAGACGGGACTACACCAAAATAGCGGCTTCTACACTACTTAGTGTATGCCCGCAAGGTTGCCCTGTGCGCGACCGGGATCAGCTTCCGCTTAGGTTGATTGGCCCTGCCCGTGCCTGCATCGCACTTGGTTTGCGTGACCTTCGGCGCCGGAACACGGAAGGAAACTCTTTGCCCTCACCCTTCCGCGAGGTCGCGATGGGACCGGTGACCGGATGTGCCTGTTCGTCGGTTGCATCCAAATTCCCAGTGGATGGATGATGGACGACTGAACGGCATGGGTGGGGCCGCAACCCCGAACTTGGAGAAGCCCAGTCCAGCTTGCCCAGCGGCTCCAGACACCCCACCGGCCTGTCCCGTCGTGGTGTGGCGGGGAGTGAAGCTCAAGTAACCAACCATTGAACAAGCTCCAATTCGTCAGACCTGCATGTACCCGTTCCTCACACTAGGGTTCTTATCCTGAATGACACACCTCACATGCTGAGCTTCACTGACGGTTGGAGGCGGGAAACAGCTGTGACTGGGCTATTTGATTGTGAGCGTGAAGGAACTGAGTATGTAAGACAGTTTAAAGAGAGAGAAAAACGATAAAAGCAAGAAAGATAAAATAAAGAGTTGGAAGACAAACGTGCAGATAGCCGGTGTCGGTGCAGTTTCAAAATCAAAATGTTGTGCAATTCAACTCTTGGCTGTTATCTTTTGACCCAAGAGACCTATTCCCTGCTACCAAGCTCATCCCCGTAAGGGCCCTCAACACTGAGCTACTTAATCGTCTTGTTCCTTGACTGTGGGTTTGCAGACTGGGAAGAGGCTATTCCGAAAGTCTGGGGCTGAAAAGAGAAAGGACGAAAGACCAGGGTATCTGTGAAGAGTCACGGTTCGCGAATTGATTCATAAAGGAAGTGGAAAGGGTCTTGATAAACACTAGTACTGCAGCTTTCCCCCCGGGGCCACTCTTCCTGGCTGACTCACTTTCCAACTTCTTTCACAACTCATCTCTCATTTCTTAAGATACCCCATTGCACTTTTTCCTCGTTAGACATTTCTCTCTTTCCTTGTCCTCACCAGATACCCGATTTACCTCTCCATCGCCATCATGATGTCCCGGGCAACGACTCGCACCATCAAGTCCGCTGTCGGACAAATCCAGGCTCGCTCTGCGTCCAACAGCGCCGCCAGCAGTACCCCCCGCCATCTTCTCTCCATCAGCCAGCTTAGCCCTGCCGAGTTCTCCAAGCTTGTCCTCAATGCTTCTGCTTACAAGCAGGCCACCAAGGCCGCCTTCGCTGCTGGCCCCGGTCAGGTACCCCGCACTTTGGACGGCAAGCTAAAGGGACGGACCGTGGCCATGATGTTTAGCAAGCGAAGCACCAGGACCCGTGTCTCGACCGAGGCCGCTGTGGCCCTCATGGGCGGCCACCCCATGTTCCTCGGCAAGGATGACATCCAACTGGGTGTAAGTGTTAACTACCGTCTCGGCTCCATCGTCTCCCCCCCCGCCTAAAAGAGACACATACATGCGCAACGACCAGCACCTCGATCACTAACGACACTTTCCACAGGTCAACGAGTCTCTCTATGATACTTCCAAGGTCATCTCCTCCATGACCTCGTGCATGGTAGCCCGCGTCGGTCCTCACTCCGACGTCGCTGACCTCGCCAAGGACTCATCGGTACCTGTCATCAACGCCCTGTCCGATGACTTCCACCCGCTCCAGGCCATTGCCGACTTCCAGACCATCCACGAGGCTTTTGCCACCAAGCCCGCCCACGAGGCCAGCCTCGGACTCGAGGGCATGAAGGTCGCCTGGGTCGGCGACTCTAACAACGTGCTTTTCGACATGGCCACCGCCTGCGTCATGCTGGGCGTCGACATCGCCGTCGCCTCGCCCGCCGGCTACGGCATCCCCGACCGCATGAAGCAGATCATCCTCAGCGCCGCCGATGGCGTTGCCAAGCCCGGCAAGCTGATCGAGACCACGGTCCCCGAGGAGGCCGTCAAGGACGCCGATATCCTGGTTACCGATACCTGGGTGTCCATGGGTCAGGAGGCCGAGACCCAGAGGCGTCTCAAGGCGTTTGCCGGCTTCCAGATAACCAACGAGCTGGCTAAGCGTGGCGGCGCGAAGCCCGGCTGGAAGTTCATGCACTGCCTTCCTAGGCACCCGGAGGAGGTTGATGACGAGGTTTTCTATGGTCCTCAGTCCTTGGTCTTTCCCGAGGCCGAAAATAGGCTCTGGGCTGCCGTCTGTAAGTGAAGCGATCTATATTCTGCCCCGGATGAAACTTGAGCTAATCACGTTTGTGCTTTTACCTAGCTGCCCTTGAGGCTTTCGTCGTCAACAACGGCAGGATACTTTGAGCAAGAAGCGATATGACAAGGTTTCTTTTGGTTGCATCTTGGTTCCATCCACTCTTCGTACATCGTAAGCATATCATGGCAGCAGTAAGGCAGGCGTTGTATTCCATGGGTTAAGGGGGTTTGGTTGCTTAATATAACCATATTCTTAGATACACACAAAAGTTATTGGCTTTTTTTTTTCCTCCTTCACATCGGTTCGTCTTACTGTATTCTATCTAGACGGGTAATAAGACAAAAGAGAAACGACATAAAATGATGACGGATTTTTCGAGATGTTGCAAAAGGCTGATCAACTACTTTTCATGTGTTTCTTGTAACGCCGCTGCAGCTATTAGAATAGACGAGGCACATGGAGACAATTCTGCAAAGTGCGAAAATAAGAGGACCAATTGACCAATCCGATCCACAACTCCTGGGTAAATCCTTTCCCATTTTTTCCCTTTCCTTTTGCACACACCGTCCCTTGTTTAACCAGGGGGAAGCTGGCTAGCATCAACAACGTCATCGGCCTCCTTCACATGGGTCTCCTCGCCGTGCTCGTAAAGAGGAGAGCGGGGCAGGGCCATGAGACCAGTACGGGCGGACTCAAGAATGCCGAAGGGGGCAATGAGCTTGAGGAAAGAGTCGATTCTGACGGGCTTCGCGGAGCTGTGGAAGAGTGGTTAGTATGTAAGCTTGACAGGGGCGCGAGACCAAAGGGTGACTCAAACTTACACTTCGACGATGCAGCTGTTAGTGCTAATATCCAATACCTTGCCGCCGAACTGGTGGGTGAAGTATGTGATGCTCTTGAGATGCTCATGCTTGTGCCTCAACGCCTCGCTGGCTACCAAGCGGCTGGGGTGGAAGTCCTTGGCAGTCTCCTCCAGGCTGTGCTCGCCGCCATTCTCGAGCTTGCCAGATTCGCCCTCGGTGGCCTCGGCGGTGATCTCGCGGTGGTGAGCGAGAAGTTCCTCAAAGTACTCGGGGCCGAGAATGTTGATCTTGGCCAAGAGCAACTCTCTCTGCACGAGAGCGGCCTTGCTGTAGTCGAGAACGGCCCAGACGGGGACCAAGTCCTCCAACTGCCTGCGCGCCTGCTCAACAACACCGTCCTGACCGGTCAGGACAATGGTCATGCGGGAGAGATCATCAACCTCGGTGTTGCAAACAACGAGCGAGTCGATGTTGAAGCCTCTGGCAGCCAAGATACCCGAGACGCGCGACAGCACACCAGGCTCGTTCTGGACCAAGCAGTTCAGGATGTGACGCTTGGGAGGGGCGAGCGAGGGGGAGGGCGTCTCGTAGAGGATGTTGGAAACGGCGGCCTGGGCGGACGACCAGGCAGGAGGAGCGTCGGCAGCGGGGAGAGGCGCATGGCGGCGGCGGATGGCCTTGTAGGCAATGGCAGAGGTCGAGCTGCTGTGGGAGCTGTACCGGACGCCAATGGCCGCCGGAAGAGACTGCCGGGCGACGGGAGCGGCATCCCTTGCCTTCGCCGATATCCGGCGCAGTGGCGCGGACATCACGAGGCCGCGAGACGCCATGGTCGTCGCGAGTATGATGTATAGAGAGAGCGAAGTTTGCTTCACTGCCCCTCGTGCAAATCGATCCGGAGCCGACGAGTACGTATGCTACGGTGGTGGTGAGCTGGGAGGGGGGAGGTATGTACAGATAAATGGAAGCACGAGATGGGTTTGGAGGATGGCGACGAGGTCCCGTCAGGAAATGGATGGATCAAACCCACTGGATATGTTTTCACCAGCCGCTAGTGACTCACCCGAACATCGGAGCTCGATGGAGGATCAGTGATTAACACAGGGCTCTAGACGTGGCTCCAGGCCCTCGTTGCTAGCGGGATGCACTGGCGATGTGACCGATGTGACCGCCGATTGTGGAGGCCGACATGGATCGACCAATGTAAAATAGAGGAGCCCCAGCTAGTCCCAAGCTCGGGTTGCCGAATGGTAGTGTCGCAAATTTGCCTGTCTGCCGGCCGAAGCCCGCCCGGGCCTCCAGTCGTGGCAGTTGAAGCTTCGTTGTGCTGCCGTTTCTTGTTCAACCTAGCTTATCGGCATTGTAGTGTAGCTTGACGCAGTCGGCTGGACACTCAGAAGAATGAAAGACAATGAATGGGACACTCAGCAATGATCTCAGCCATGTTGGCCTAATACGTCATGATTTGACCATTGTATTCAGATGAAAAAGTGGAAAAGTCGCAACCGGAGCGCAGACATCCAAACTCGGTGTTGCTCAACGTCCCGTCTGAAAGATCCGTCGTCCAAGTGGCAATCTGAACTTCAGTCGTCGGGTACTCGGATTTTCTACCGGACTGGGCGCCGCGCACCTTCATGGCCCGGCGATACTTACCTGCCGCTTCCACTTCTGCAATGCCGTCCTGAGATCGAGAGCCCAAACCACCAAACCGGAAACGATCCACAGCATTTTGGGTCCAAAGAGCCAATCATAGACGAACCTGACGGCGCGCCCGATGCTCCACGTCTCACAGCCTCGTGGGTTTTCACAAGTCTCCACAGCCAACCCTTTCCCTTTGACGGGACAGGCTTAAATGTCATGCACTGGCGGCTGGTGTCTTCAAAAGGTCACGGTCCAACTCCAACTAGTGGTCTTCAACACAGGCGGCCCGTTTTCTTTTTCGTTTTTGCAAAGTTCAGAGTTCAACAATTCCTACTAGGCATCCACTGATCGTTTCCATTCTTGGGCGCGACAAACCACCTCCATCAGCAGCCCATTCGACACATTTTACAAACCAACCCGGTACCCGACCGAATCGCTCCGAATATGGACGACGCAGAACGTCGGAGCGCAAAGCGCTCTCGCTTTGACCAGACCGAGCCTGAACCTAAGAGAGTATCACGCTTCGACCGCCGGTCTCGTTCTCCTCCCGCGAGGAAGTCGGACTCCGGCCGGGATCGCGACCGCAGCCCTCTTTCCAAACCCCGTGATAGCGCGACTCCCGATTCCACAAAGCCAGCAGTTGACCCTGCTGCCGCCGCTGGTATGCATTTAGCTCGCGATATAGAGGCCTGTTGTATCAATTGTCGCTGACCGCTTTGTAGCTGCCGCTGCCGCCCGTATTCAAGCCCAGCTTCAGGCTCGTAAAGGAATCCAACACGTCGATGTCCCACCCGTCCGATCTGCCGGTACTAGAGAGGGCAGCGTCCCCGCGAATATCAATGGAGAGATGTACATTTCCGATGGAGACTTCATCAAGGATATCGAGGTCAACGATCTCCGTAACAGATATCTCTTGACAAAGGGTTCGACCCAGAAAATGGTAATTACTCCTTGGTTAACCCACTGATCAACTGTCAGCACTCGCGAGACCGCATCTGTCTTGTTAGCGTCTCCGTTAATGCTGTACAATCTTGTGCGGGATACTCTTGCTTACAGGAGGCATGGTAGCTCGCACAGGGCCATCCACATTGCAACTGCTGACCTTGGCTGCTTGAATATAGATCAAAGATGAGACTGGTGCCGGTATGCCCCGCCTTTATACACGTTAAGTTTGGAGAACTGTTCATTGACCGTTTTCTGTTCAAGATGTCACCACTCGCGGTAGCTACTACCCCGACAAGAGCATGGCGACACCTGCGGTATGTGATTGCTTCTTGAGACTGGTCTACAAGTTCTCGTCGCTGATGCATTTGACTTCAGAACCCTCCGCTGTATCTGCATGTCACAAGCACGTCCAAGGAAGGGTTGGAAAAGGCCGTTGCCAAAATCGAAGAAATGATGAAACAAGAACTTCCCCAACTCGTTGACGAACGTCGTTTCCGCCGCAGGGACCAGGAACAGGTCGAACGTGATGAATACGGTCGTGTAAGTCCAAAGTCCCCTCAGCTATGTTCAACTGGAGCTAACGTGCTTTCAAGCGCAAATGGCCGGAAGAGAGAATCCCCATCAATCTTGAACCCGTCCCAGGATTCAACCTCCGCGCCCAGGTGGTTGGTCATGGTGGCGCTTACGTCAAGCATATCCAGCAGGAGACTGGCTGCCGAGTCCAAATCAAGGGCCGTGGCTCCGGTTACATCGAGGCATCAACAGGCCGCGAGAGCGACGACGACATGTATTTGCATGTCGCTGGGCCCGATCCTAAGATGGTAGAGAAAGCCAAGGAGCTTTGCGAGGATCTGATGGAGAACGTCAAACAACAGTATGAAGAGTTCAAGAGCCGTCCGCCCCGCCAGTACAACGGTCCTAGGGATTACCGTGATCGGGAGCGGGAGCCCAGAGGTGGCGACTCTTACCATGGGCGGGGCTACAACAACAACAGCAGCAACAACAACAACCACAGAGATCACCTTCATGGCGGGCACCACGACAACAGCCATCACAGCAGCTACACCAACTCGCCTGCTCCTGGTGGTGGCCCTTCGGTCGCGCCCCCTACTCCCACGGCTCCTGCAGCGGCCACGACGGATTATGCTGCCCAATATGCCCAATACTACGGCGGCGCTGCCGCTACTGACCCTTATGCTGCAGCTGGTGCGGCTGACCCATACGCCGCATATGGTGGCTATCAAGCGTAAGTGAAATCCGATTTCATTAGTGATAGCTAGCTAATGGTTTCAATAGCTACGTCCAACTGTATCAACAATGGTATGCCGCTCAGGCTGGACAGGTAACTCCAGCTGCTGCGGCTACTGGTGTCCCCGGTGCCCCCGGTGCTTCGGCATCTCCTCCACCTCCGCCTCCTACTGAAGCAGCCCCCCCTCCGCCTCCTCCCCCATCGTCTGCTGCCCCTCCCCCACCTCCGCCCGGCGCTCCTCCCGGAATGTCTGGTGGCTATAGCGCGGTATGTAAAGTCCCATGTCATGACGATTAAACACTTGAACTAACCGTCTTCCAGGTCCCCCCGCCCCCTGGCCTCTGAAAATGGCACGTTGACGACATTAGCAGCTTAGAAAGCCAGCGAGTGCTTAGGCTTAGTGGTTAGCCTTTCATTCTCTTACAGCTGATGCTTCGGCAGGGATACGAATTTCAAAGAAGATAAAAAGAAATTGGCTTAAGCCAAGGGTAAAGATTGTTTTCCATTGTTCAGGATTATCTCATCACACTAGGCTGCTGCCCAGACGAGGGCCGATTAATCTTATAAAACATGACGAAGTGGTGGCACACTGACTCATTACAATAGCGACGCAGTCCCCGATGAGTGATGTGGATAGGGGAGGCAATGTAAGACGTCTACAAACGCTTTATTTTTCTGTGACGTTTTGCCAACAATGCTGCACAGGTTTCTCTCTTTTCGGTATGTTATGAGCGCATGGTAGGACTTGCTGGTTTTAGAGATGCTGCTGTTATTGAAGTCTAGGTCCAGAAGTAGCGAAGAGTCTGAGCCGGACGCTTGATCAGGTAGGTAGATGTTTGATTCGTTTACTAAAACGATGTGCACAGTCAACATCCCCCGACCTTGTTGGTACACTCGGTCGGCCTTTCATATCCTTGCTTGCGCTTCAATATCTCTTTATCAAAGCTTCTCAGGTTCTCTTCACGCAAATGTCTACGGTCAAAAGGGGGTAGCAAAGCTCTAGCAGGGAATAGTCATCACACAAGAAGAAAAATAGGAGAACTAGAGAATACATGTTAATTAGACCATTGGTCGAATTGCCGCCATTGTGGATGGACCTTGTGCTTGTTGGCAATAACAGCAATAGCTTCAAGATGATACGGCGGTACACTAGAGGTAGGTAGAGGTACCTATCCACAGAAGGCTTTCAGGAACGGCCCGGGGTGTGCAGTAACAAATACCCCTGAATCTCACAGTGATGTCTCCCTGCTGCCCGCGTGTCAGTCTCCACTCAAGCTCCTGTGTGGCCCACACTTCAAGTTGCCCGTACGTAGTGTAGTGCAGTACAACACTACGTACACTTGGCTTCGGCTTGGCATTACGTTCATTCACGTTTCCCAAACGGGGCTCAAGCGGAAGTCCTAGACTTCAACTCTCCTAAATTATTTCAAAATATTGCAAGATACCGTTTGTTCAAAGTCCTTTCAAAGGGCGTCATTACCTGTCGTTACTGAATAGAGGATGAATCACCAACGATTTCCTTCGCATGAGGTCAAGGAGCCGCATTCAGTGTCGCTCAAGGTGTTGAGGTAGGTTTAGTCGCCCGACGATCTGATACCGTCGCATCATTCCTACATCTCTTCAATTCGAGTAGCTAATCCATCCAATCTTCAACTTGAAGATTATCCCGACCCTCGCTGGTGCCGCAATTCCCACTTCATCCTCCAGTGATTCCGCCGTCCTTGACCTCTCCCATTGGCGGCACCTTGCCCGCAGCCCTTCCACAACGCCATTTACCACCCTTACCAGCATCGCTCGCGTATAGCCCGCTCGGTCCGATCAAGAAGCATGGAGAAGATGCCCACGAAGCTGAAAGCGCAGGTGGCGAAAGGACAAGAGATGGATACTACAACACCGAGCCCTTCATCCTCTCTCCCATTGTCAACCTCCCACCCTCGTTCGGGTCTGCCTACGTAGGCGAGACGTTCAGCTGCACCCTATGCGCAAACCACAATGCTCCGCCAATCGGAGAGGGCGGCACCAGCGTGAAGAAGACGATCCGCGACGTCAAGATCGAAGCCGAGATGCAGGCCCCTTCAGGGCAAACGACGAAACTAGTTCTGGGTGATACGGCAGGAGATGATAACGCCGGGTCAGGGTCATCAGCAGCGAACGCGGACAACGACAACGTCACCACCGGCAGTAACGGCAGCGGGAGCGAAGACAGTAATAACGCAACAGAGGCAAACACAGAAACAGAAACAGTAGCAACCCTCGACCTCCTTCCACCCAGCACCACTCTCCAAAAGATCCTCAACTTCGGTCTCAAAGAGGAAGGAACCCACGTCCTGGGCGTCACGGTATCGTACTACGAGGCTACCGAGACCAGCGGGCGCACAAGGGCGTTTCGGAAGATGTACCAGTTCATCTGCAAGCCGTCACTGATTGTGAGAACGAAAGCCGGTCCTTTGCCTTCTTTGCCGCCTGTTAAAGCGGGGAATGGAAAGAGGAGGAGGAGATGGGTGCTGGAAGCACAGCTGGAAAATTGCTCCGAAGATGCGATACTTCTAGAGAAGGCCGAGCTAGCAGAGGTACAGAGGGGGCTGAAGTGGAGGGATTGTAATTGGGCAGGGATAGGGGTAGGGGTAGGTCAGGGAGAATCAACAATGACCGGGGAAGGGATATCTCAGCAAAGTCAAGATCAAAGTCAAGGTCCTCCTAGACGACCATTTTTGCAACCGGGGGAGTCGGAGCAGCTGTGCTTCATTATCGAGGAGAAGGGTGGAGGAGAAGGAGACGGAGATGAACAAGGGGAAGAAGGAAAGGCGGTTGAGGTCGAAGAGAAGAATGGAAGAATAGATTTTGGAGTCATGGCGCTGGCGTGGAGGACGGAGATGGGTAATAGGGGGTCGTTGTTAACGCTGAAACTGGGCACTAAGCATGTCAAGCCTCGATGATAGTGATAGCGGCAGTTGGCTGGCTGGCTGAGTGAGTGAGACAGACCGCGGGATGATGGTGTGGTGGGTGTGGTGTTTGAGATATAGTGTAGAGACTACTGCTAGCCTTTCCCGTCGAGTGATTTGCATCGATTACAGATCCTTTCTTGTCCCACCATGAATAGGTTGCTGCTGTAGAGGGGAAGGCGAAAAGACTGATGATGAGTGCTATGCAGATTGCCTGTTTACGTCTGTTCTAGCGTTGGTGGTTTTATTACTTACGACGGGAAGTGTGCTACTAACCCATAGCGTCAGTAAATGGCCTGTAGGTGCTATCGACAGAGTGTATTATCTATCTCTCTCACGGTGAACAGGTGAAGAGTTTGTGTGTCTCTGGTTACTTTCTGCCGTCGTCATTCTATGTCAAACACTTTGATTATGTAAAATTCCAATCCTTCTAGAGACCACGTCCACAAAGTTGTCTTTTTCACAGACGCCAAACACCATTTCTTACCTCTAACACCAGAAGATCACCTAGTTTCCTCGTCGCAAGATGCATCTACTCGGGATACAGTTCCACTTCTCACATTCCATTCCAATTACACGTCAAGAAATCATGACTATGCAACGGAGAAGAATCAGATACGAAACAACGAGCTCTGCCTTTTCGTCGGGGTCTTGCATTCCAGGGCTCCAGGGGCGGGATTCTCAACTTGAAACCAACGCGCGCTTATGTTCGAGAAGGTCTACCTGGTCAAATCAAGTCAAACCACACAAATTATCGTATGTTCGCCAATCACACATCTCTCCTTGCGTTCTGGGTACATAAACAATGACATTTACGCATGTAAGAAAAGTGTATTGTTGAGTTATTGTGTACTTGCACTTTTTGACCGCTTTTGTTTCTCTGAATGTCGCCAACGCAACTACTTACATACGAAACAGCCGAGCTAAGTAGGCCGCGAGGTAAAGTGCCTTTTGACTCCGAAGATTTCAGAGGCTTGAGGGAAAAAAATGTATCAAGTCTGGCTGATGCAAGATACGAAGCAGAACCCCCCCCCCCCCCTGTCAGTGGGCAAACATGAAGTGTCAAAGCCAGCCATGCCCGCTCAGTAGCATCAGCCTCAGCTTTTTCTATATTTGCCTATCTTTCTTCCGATATAGTTCGTTTTATGCTTGAAAACATATCTGGAATTGCAATGATGGAATAAGGCAAGGGGGCCGTGTATAGCCTTAAACTTGATAGAACCTCACGTCAATGCCAACGTAAGAATGCTCACTCCCTTGCTGCATGGGATAACAACAAAAAGGGGTGTGAGGAAGGGGGGGTCAATGGGAATAATGTCCGTATTATTAGCCCGACGGGTACGACGACTTATCTGGTACATGACATGACATGACATGAAAGGTGTAAGCCTGTAAGGTGAAGTGATTTTGTGATCTTGCGGTGAAGAAGAGAGACACCGGGAGGGGAGACCCTGAGACCCTGAGACCCTGAAATTTCTAGTTCTAGACTCTGTCATGTTGCTGGGGTTTATGTTATCTTTCATTCCCAGCCATCAAGCTCTAAACGAGATTTTTCGTTTTTCGAGACTTGATTATGAAGGTGGTAAGAGGGCGGGGGTCATAGATGCTTGATGTTGTTATAGTGTAATGTCTAAATGATGGGTAGATGACTGGCATGAACAAACATGAATAAAAGACAACTGGTTTCCGCCTCTACTGACTTTAGCTGATCATGGTTTCTGAAAAATCAAATTATTGATTTATTTTTTTCATCCCGTCTTCGAAAGGACACACAGAGTAACGGACACACGAACCAAGATGAGGGTGAGCTCGGACCCGCCGACGGGTATGTATTATCAATTTGTTTTGTATGTGATGAGACAACATTATAGGATGTCGATCTTAAGCTTGCTTATTTATGCTATATTTACTTTTATGTGTGTAATGTACTTTGTCGCCTTTTCCCCCATATGCAGAGTATTCGTTCCCAAAGCATGACAGTAATGATGATGATAGCGATGATGATAATGATGGGCTTTGATGTTGAAATATTCTTTGGTGTTTTCCGTTCTTTTTTCTGCTTTTATATTATGCTGCTACTGTAGGGCTCACAAGAGGCAATGATAGCACAACTGTTGTTGTTGTTGCTTGGAGAAAACATGTTTTTGTGCCCACTTACAGAAAGTACTTCTCCTGTACCGACGTTAAGCAGGAAAAAAAAGGATGCAGTACCTTTTCTTCTGCTCCAAGACCTTCTTGTGTATCGTAACATTTTTTGGTTTCGCCCTTCTTTCTCTTCCGCCCGTTGTTCCCGAGTAAAAACGTTTAACGGTTAAGGGGTCCTGGCTGGGGTAACCGGTGAGGGGGGTTTTGTGATACGGGAGCAGCCAGGGTAAGGAAGCAAGCCTTGGTACTGTGGTGGTGCCGAAGAGAAGTAGTTGTGCTAGTTAGTCACGGAAGCTGACTGAATGAAGAACCGTTGAGAATGATGGGATGGTATACGCAGTTGAGAGATCTGTGTTTGCTCTGATGTGTACGCCTCAGGAGTTCGATGATCATGTATCGGTCGGCAATCTTCCAGGTACATAACATCATCTGTGCCTGCTTTGTGCCTTGCCGTTGTTCTCAAGTACAGTGTGAAGTAACTGCGGTCCGGGATACGTGTGTTCCTGAGAGACGTAATCTAGAAGGGAGAGGAATTGTTTGGTTTGGCGAGTCAAGCGGACCGATAGATCTCGATGCTTGCCCTTGACGAGGGTCAATGTACTGCACTTTGAGAGTGATCTGAAAAGACGGGGTCCATCTCAGTAGATGGTGGACGGCGACCAGGTTTCTTCAGCCGATACGGCTGTTCCTGAACTTACATGGGGCCAAGATATATCCATTTTCCATCCCCACAAAGCAGAACATCACGAGCCTCAACCACCTTGGTGGGCAGCCTAGTGTACTCCGGTTGCCGGTCGACAAACTTCAGAAAATATCAAGGTTGCATCCGATTGTCTTGGTATTGCTCTTGAGCGAAGTAGACAAAAGCCTTTGGGCTTTGGGCGAAGACCTGTGCAATTCCGCAAGCCTCCATACAGCATCTACTTCGGCTGCATGTGTGGCCTGTATTGTGGAAGCTGGAAAAAGTCTTGTTTCTCTCTCGTGGGCTTCCATGTATCTATGTGTGGAAGGCAATCAGCAGCTAGAATGGTAGCACAGACATGACAGGTCTTCAATCTGCGACACGGCCTTTTCGGCTAGATGTTTAGATGTTACAGTGGACGTGCCGCCGAGTCTCCGATTATAGCCTCTGGAAAAGGGCTGGGAAGCCCGACGGGTAGTAGAAGAAGTTTGCCTGAGGACCCGGCGGGCGTTTCATGGAATGGCTATCGGCAGCCATGGCCGAACCGAACGAACTGATGCTGTTGGGCTGCGATCATGTACCATGAATTCCCATACAGTACATGGCTGGTTTACCATGCACACCTGGCTTGCTGCTGGTGTGGGTAATAATTGTTCGATGCCAGCTTGTGTGTTGTATGGACGAGAGAGATGTCATCCTGTCAGCAATTTGCTTCGAAGACACCGATCGGAACACAAGAAGGTTGACCGGCCAGATAAAGAGACGGGACAGAGAGAGAGGCTCAATCGAGCCCCTGCATCATGACTGGTCCTGCTCTGGGTCTGGTTACCCACCAAACAGGACAACCCCTGACTGCCTCTCAAGGGACTCACTCTCTCATGACCGGGCTGGCGGCCAAGCCTTTCCCAAAAGGAACAGGAAAGGGGGGGGGGGGAGGGGGGGCAGGTTGAGGGTCGTTCATTTGGAGATGGCGGAGAACATCAACAGAGGATGGATCCATCCGATCCATTTTCGGAGGAGAGAAAGCCTCTCGTCGATAGTTTGCGACTAAGTATTTGAGGTTCCGAATTCTCGAGACCGACGAGGAAGCGGCGTTGGGGCGGCGGCCGTTCCAGGCTTTGTCTCGATGAGGCATCATCCCTCCAAAACTTCTGGGGGGTTACATTTCTGTGGTGTTGAACCCATCGAGTGGCCATGAGCATTCGAAAGCGACGTGACTTGCAGAGAGGCACGACAGGTTCGGGCGTCATTCTGGGTGCCATGTGGCGGACAGAGTTGGGTCACTTGGTTGAGGTCAGGAATCGGGTTCTTTGGCCCTTTGGTCCTACCTTGCACGGCAGTAGGTATCGACGCGTGCTCCAGATGTGGAGACGGATCATCATCATCATTTGAGGCAGGCATAGCACAGGCACGACATTGTCACCTGCGTGAGTGGTGAACTGTAATCAAAAATGGCATCCATTCCACCTGCCATCGCCCGATTCAGGCACGCTTTGAGGCACGATTCGGGCCTGATGGAACCAGGGCCCAGGAACGGAGATTCCGTATCTGGACTCTTGCTTCTCAGGACCAGCCAACCTCAGCTGCAGTGCAAGTGTCGAGCCGTCGGTTCCTAGGTAGGGAGGGAGGTTGGCATGCGGGCACCTTCCTCTGATCCATCTATTTTCTCCAACAGAGGCAGGAGCAACGAAAGAGATGACTGATGGACAAGTCCAGGAGCCGGAGATGGAAGATGGGACAACAACTGAAGCGACTGATCGATCGACGAGCTCCCCTCGTTTATCCTCGCCGAGTTCGGTTGCCATGCTCATCTACGCAACCAGACAGTCTCAAGTTACCTGTTCTCGGACCTGCAGCGATCGACAAGCTTATTGCTGGTTTTGCCCGTGGTTGATCATGATTCGTAAAGCGGAGGACCCTGACGCTCGCTGTACACTAAGTACTCGTCCTCTTGTTCTCTAGCTAGTGTAGTCTGTGTAGATAGGTAGCAGCCAGGTCGTCCGTCATCCGTCAGGAGCGGGCCGAGAGAGGAGAATGTCTCTAATGCCAATGTCTGTGTGGAAATTACCGTTTGCTACACTTTAGTGCCTGTGCTTTCTCTTAAAATAGTAGTCAGTCAGACGTCTGGACTTTGGAAGAAGGTGACGACGGCGGCGGCGGCGGGAGTCGGGGGTTCAGAATGGGTCTCTTTTAAAGCTTCCACCTTAGGTACGAGACAAGGGGCAATCGGCTCACGGGCTAAAAGTAGCGTACAACCCAATTTCACCTAGCGCCATTTGGATATTTGTGCCCTGAGTACTTGGGGGGTTCTGGGCGCCAAGGCTTTTAACCCCCCTACTCGTTAAGTAGGGGGTAGCAAAAAATTGGGACACGGTTTTAATCTGGAACACTCCACATAGAATTTTACTAGCAATCTGTTCCATCCACATACTAAACTACCACATTACACATCAACACAACGTTGTAAGAAGCCGTTAGAAATCTAGTATATTGCTCAATTAGGTAGTAAGTAAATAGATTAATAGGTTGCAGTTATTCTTTATCTTTTTCTAGCGCTGGTACTAGTATTAGCGCTAATTTGGGTACGGGCGGTACCTCCTTTACTATTACCTCCTACCTTACTAGTATAGTCTTAATATGTATAATTTGCTTTCTTACCTATATTTAAGATTTTATAGTACTTTCGACGTACTTTATAACCCCCCAATATAGTATTAATTTGATAGATTATAGTTTTAATAGATTTAAAAGAGCTAGTTTTAATTTAATTAATAGCCTAATTCGTACGAGTAGTTTGGAGGTAGAGGGTAGTAGTATAAAGAGACGGCGGTTAATTAGTAGGTATAGTAGCAAATTATCCTCCTCCTCCTTATTATCCCCTTTATTACTATTATATATTTCGTTTATAATACTATTATTTTTATTATTAAAAAGAGTACTCTCGTCTTTAAATATAGCGTTGATTGTCTATATATTAAAATAACGAATAACGTTAGTAGTAGACTTAGGGATGAGTTCGTCTATAGAGTTGATAATCTGTATATTAATATACGCGGCTACTTGAGAGCCAATTTTAATAGCGGGTTAAGGTAAGCGGAAAGGAGAGAATAAGGGTTCTAGGGGTTAAATAGTAGAGGGATTATTACCCAAATTAGTTTTAACTAAGTTATTAGAGTCTAGATTAATATTAATTAAATAATTAGATGCTAGTATATGGAGCCTATTTTCCTATACCTTCTTATAGTAATTAGGTATTAATATACTATATACATTGATTTTATATAATGTATCCCCCTTTGGTTAAATAATAATATTAAGAATATTACATTTATTAATTAGTATATAACCCTCCTCTTTTCGCTTCTTCTTATAATTATCCTAATATATATTCTAATAGACCTTCTCCTTACTATTTAGTAACTTTTTCTATTATTCTTTAACCTTATTTATAGTCTTTGTTATAGCATAGCTAGACAGGTTCCTAGAGCACTGGCCACTGGGCAATAGAGTGCTAGGTTCCCAGCACCATAGTACATCGGATGGAATGAGGCTTATGTTCTTATCGATAGCTACCTAGATTGGGAAGGCGGCGACCGACGGTAGAATCCTAACTTATATATTTAATTCCGAATGCCTTCGTTCATTTACCTTCCCCTTCCTTCTTTATACTTAATATTACTTTGATTTGTAGCTTCTAGTCTTGTTGTTGTATTATTTGTAGGATTACGCTTTCACATAATATTAAGTATTATTTCTATTAACCGGGGACGGCGTTAAATATTTCTTTCCGTTAGGATCGTACTAAGTGCTTAATTTCATTTGATTAAATTATAGTTAATTGTAATTACTTATCGAGAAGGGTTATTAAGCCTTACAATAGACGTTTTGACGACGTAAGTAAATTCCCTCCTTAGAACCTCTTAATTTCTAGATTGAGTTAGTTATACAATATTTGAAACCGGAGACTACCTAAGCTTGAGTTTAAGTTTTAGTTTTATTACGAGCTCTACATTATATTACAAATAAGAGGCGTATTTATTCGACTAAACCTATAACAATAAAGCGGGTTTTAATCCTATAGTCCGACTCTTAAACCCCATTATTTAGTTGGGTGGAAGATTTAATAACGATACTTAATTTAATATAGTATTAATACCGGAAGCTTTTGTTAATTTGTAGAATTGAAACTCCTTTATATTAACGAGGACGGGGGCGAGATTCTATTAATTACCGCGGGTTGAAGCGGTAGATAAATCCTTTAAATATATTAAAAGGGATAAAGGTATTATAGATCCGTAAATAATATTCTATAATATATATAAATAGTTGAAGGGTAAAGAAAAGGAGCGTATAGCCCTATCCTTTAGGCCTGCTTTACCCCTGCTCGCCCTCCCTTTATTATCGCTGAGGATATTTTTCAAATTATTCTAGAAATCCGATTTACTAAAATTCAAGAGGGTCTCCGCCAAAGCTACCCTACCGAAAAGAGGGGTTAATTTAGATTAGAGTTTACGCTTTATAGGACCTGACCTGGACTGATTTTACTATATTCCTAATATCAAGATACGGAAAATTAAGAATAAAAAAATATTATTAATTAAAGAAAAGGCCGAAGTTATAATAATAGGATCCGAGGGTAAGCCGGGAAGCGGTAATAAATCTATATTAGTTTTAAAATTAAGAAGTTATTACCTCCACCGCCTCTATTATATTACTAAATTTCCCCTTTAGTAAATTACTTATAATGATTTGGTAGAGGAGGTACGCGCCCGTACTACTACTATCAATTAAAATTGGGTAGACGATTATAGGGATATTTTATTATTTAAATTAGTAGTTCGATTAATTAAGTCCAATAGAGAGCTACGAAAACCCGGGTTAATCTATCGATTTATAGATGAATA